TTCAAGTCTATACAAAAAATTCAACTAGAGTCAAATTCCTAAAAAAAAAATTGAAGGGGAGTGTTGGCGCCCGCAGGCAATTGCATTTTAGAAAACCAAAAAAAAAAAAAAAATTATACGATTAGAACACATAACAATGAGTTCAAACTACAATATTCAGATTCATAAACAGAAAAAACAATTTACAATGATTATCTATTTGAAGAATGATAATACAAAAGGCACCTGGATGTTATCAATATTCAAGTCTGTGCAAATAATTCAACTAGACTCAAATTCCTAAAGAAAAATGTGAAGGGGAGCGTTGGCGCCTGCAGGCAAATGCATTTTAGAAAACAAAAAAAAAATTTAGGAAAAAAAATACAATCAGAACACATATCAATGAGTTCAAACTACAATATTCAGATTCATAAACAGAAAAAACAATTTACAATGTTTAGCTCATAAGAGAATGATGATACAGAGGGCACCTGCTTGTTAACAATATTCAAGTCTATACCAAAAATTTAACCAGAGTCAAATTCCTAAAGAAAAATGTGAAGGGGGGTGTTGGTGCCCGCAGGCAAATGCATTTTAGAAAACCAAAAAAAAATTTAGAAAAAATTATACAGTAGGCAAACACATTAAAGAGTTCAAAATAAAATGTCCAGAATCTTAAACAGAAAAATCAATATTGCCAATGATTAGCTCATTGAAGAATGATAATACAAAAGGCACCTGGATGTTATCAATATTCAAGTCTGTGAAAAAAATTCAACTAGACTCAAATTCCTAAAGAAAAATGTGAAGGGGAGCGTTGGCGCCTGCAGGCAAATGCATTTTAGAAAACCAAAAAAAAAGTGGCATTAGGACCAATATCTAAAGTGTTTTCAACTGCTGAAGAAACTGAGCTGGTATCCTATCTTCAACTTATGGAAGGACGTTTATTTGGACTAACGTCAATAGATTTACGAAAGATTGCATATCAGCTATACATGTTTTGGATTATTTAGATCTATATATAAACTAAGTTCAGACCCGTAGTTTTTTGGTTATAAGTATTAATAGTTTATATGATCAGACTGATCAGAGTATTGGAAACAAATTTTTTCAGAATCTACTAGAATGTATTAGTTAAATTAAACTATATAAGTATGTGGAATACAGTACCTAACCTTCTATGATAATTTGTTATGAATATATTGTAAGTAAAAGATCAAATTTAGCACTTTTAAGGTACTCAATACATTTTCCTAATATTTTAACAGAAATTATGGAGCTAAAAGTATAGAAATACCTATATTATGTTCAGTGAGGCACGGGGCGCACTAAAATACGGTCCATTATAGTTCATAGTTTTGTTTCATTTATAATAATAATGCTTTTTAATATACTTTTTCATAAATTAATATTTAATCAAGTTGGTTTTAATTATTTATTTGAACTATTAGTACGTGTTTTTCTGGGACATCACTATTATCACAACAGCGTTGCCAATATGCTTAAAATGTTTTTATATTTTAGGTTCATTTGTTAAAAAACTAAATAGGTACCTACCTACCTACCAAGTGTATAATAAAGACATTTTTTTTGGTACACAAATTTTAATTATTATTTATTAATTTAAACAGTTTTTAATAAACGCGTTTTCATTCAGTATTTTTTCGAATTTTAAGTGCATATTTTTGAATACTTCAGTGCATATTTTAAATCATATTTTGCTTGTTTTTAGTGCATACATGTGTAATATTTAACACTTTTTTTAATGAATTAAATTCACAGCCCTGCTAATTACTTTTACTTACAATCATACCTACCACAGTTAATGTTAAATTGTCAACAATCAACTGCTTCTTAAACTTGATAACACTTATAAGGGATGTCAGATTTTTAGTGCACCATTTATTTCTCTCTCTGACCCACACACAATCATATTTACGTTTAACAGAATCAACCAGAGCCGGTTCAAGGACTTAATTTCGTACAGGCATAAATATATATTTATAAGTAATTTATAGTTGATAGGCCAACCTAAACTCCCAAACACAAATATTTTTTTTTGCTTTACTGTTCAAAACGGAATACCAAAAAAATTTAGATTTTCTTTACTTTTTTAATAAAATAGAATTTTTTTATGTTGAATATATTATATAATTGTAAAAAATCGTATAATATAATATTATTAAATTATTCTTGTATATAATTTAAATATTATTAAAAACGAAAATTAGTTACTTATATGATTAGTGAACTATTTTATTTTTCGGCTAATAATGATCGCCTTACCCGTACGCTAGAAATCACTGGGTTAGTGTTGTTACTTTTAATATTATATTGAATTAACCTATTATCAAACTTGAATATTTTAACCCTTTCACTGTTGAATTAATTTTTTCCTGGGATAACATTTTAGTTTTCATTTATTTTTTTCGTATTGCATATATTGTTATACTTTAAGTATTAATAATGAATATATAGATATTTTTATTTTTTAGTAGATTAATTATAATTTTTTTTTTCTTTAGATTTGTCTAATCGTTTATAATCATTTTTAAATTGTAATTATTTAGACGATCATTAGTCATAACTTATATAATAATTAAAATATCATCAAGTAACCAACGTAACGACGTATGTAATTTTCTTAACTTAATATTTTTAATCTAACGTTAAAAGTAACAACTTCGTTTTGGTTCTGTTATTCGTACATTAGGTATGCTACGTGTGGATCAAAGATGGAAAGCAAATAATGCTCTGACCATAGATATACAGGGCCGTATTAAGGGACAATGTATGGGGTAGCAAACATAAATATAATCGAATAACAAGCTACAATGCTACATAGTCTCAGTAGTCAGTACTGCAATATAATGATAGGTGGCAATATCGTATAATGGACACATACTAGTTGCGGACGAATTATTCAGGTTAGGAATTATAATATAACAAATTGCGGACACGAGCTTCGTTGTCATAATACTAATTGCGTACAGAGCTTCATTTAATAAAAACTACGTTAGTTGTGGACACAAATATTTCCCTTCACCACTTTTTCAGAACTTATGACAATAGCTAAAAAAAAAATTGGTAGGTGGGGTTAAAAATATTTGTGTCTTGCAAAAGAGCAATCGTTATTTTTAAAATGTTGTTGAATTATAGATTGTTTTAATTTTGTGGAAAAAATTGTTTATAAAATATTTATAGATTATCGTCATTATTAATTATCGTCATAGTTTTTAAAACAGCCTGTATATATGATATTCTACTGATTTCACCACGTGAATATTGGAACATTATCCGCAATAAAATTAGTATCTTATATTTGTGTCCGCAATTCGTATGTTACCTTTTTAGATTTCGTCCGCAACTCACATGGTTTTTGTCACTTTGTCCGCAATTCGGAAACACCGCGTATAATTCTGGCAGTTCGGTGCCCCGGCGGCTATTATATTACAAACGACATTTTTTTGCCACTCTTAATTATTTGGCCGTCCCTGCCGCCTGGAGCAACTGCTCCTTTTGCCCCCCATATGATCGGTATTCTGTCTATCCATCTTTTCTTCAGACTCTAACTTCTATAGCCACTCTCACTATATTTTATCATACAGTCACGGAGCCAACTAAACCTGTTCTCTCTTGTTTTCACTACAATATATGCCACAACACAACACTACCCAACCTTTAATTAATAAATTTCCTATTCTATCTTCCTTTGTACCTCAACACCTAACTTAATATCTGCTACACACACTTCGCTAACCTAACCTAAAATTACATTTCCTTTTCGCATTTCCCTTTCATAAGCTAAACATTCTGAAATCCTGTTGACCTCTTTCCTTATCTTCGCCACATCATACACTTCCTAATTCCTATTCACTCAGTCTCTAGTTACCTACAAGTCATCGTACTTGATTATCGGTGAAAATATTTAAATATCATTGAACGAATTACCTACTCAAAAGAAGTACCTACATATCAATAATAGCATACCTGACCAATTTCCTAATTTTTATCACGACTTTATTGATAGCGAGAATAATGTTATACCAGTATAGTTACAATACAAATAATTGAAAAGTTGTAGGCAATAATATATCCCCTGATCAATTAAAAAAAATAAAAAGTAACATACTGAAAAATAAGAAAATACATACCCCGCGTCCGTGGTGAATCAAAATCTGCTATAAAACTTGGTCTTCGAAACACTGCAAAGTCTTCTCATTTCAGTCTGCTTATGATATATTTTATTCCCAACTAACAAATCTTCACTGACGAATTAAATACCATTTCTGAAATAACACGCAGCCTGCAGTAAAATGTTCAACAATATTCTTATGACCTAAGCGTCACGGATATTATATTTTATATGACGTATAATGTTTAATTTGTATTACACCTACCTAACTATTATGTGTTAGCAAGCCCAGATTAAGGATCAATTGGGCCCCGAGACACCATACACTTAGTGGTGTAAGGTTCTAAATCACATATTACAATGTTGTCACTTATTTTATATTATGTAATTATATTATGTTGTAATTGTTATCATTGTACGGTTGCAACACTGCACACGGCAGTCGGACAGTCAGTTAGTTCCCGACGCCGACGAGAGGAACATCTCTTATGTTAATAAATACGAGTCTATACACGCATTAGTTCTTTTATTTATTTACATGGCGCTGTGGTAAATCGAAACGTGTTCTATTGTATTTTTTAAGTGTCGTTTAACGTAAATTTACATAGAAGTGCGTTTTCCGTTTTTTATTTGAAGTCTTACATGCTTACGTTGCACGTGGATTTCGAAACGTTTTATTCTACCCTTTTTCAAGTTTGAGGTTAACTGTAACCAACATTCAAGTGAAGCCGTTAACAACTTCAGTACGTACACTGACAACATTGTTGTTTATATTGTGCATAGATAATATAACTCGTATTATCTATGATATTGTGATAACTGATAAATTACGTATCAATTATCAGTATTGTCATAAACGCTAATCAAATTCGTCAAATCCTCAGTCATGAGTGCTTTAGACTCAACGGAAAGGACAGTATTAAAGGCAATTAAGACCGAGGAAATTCGAGAAGAATTATTATTCCGATTATTACCTAATACAGGTCAAAAAGAAGAACTTGTAGACATGCTTCTCAGCGACAATGAGCGAGTAGTAGCTGACGGAATACAAGCAAACCTTATTGCAGCTAGAAAAAAACGAAACGAAGACGCTCAAAAAATTATTGAATTGCAGAACACTATCGCCACGATGAGCTTAACCCAAAACAGCCAACCAGCCAACGAAAATGTTCTGGAACTCATTCTCCGATTATCACAATCGCAACAAGCAATCGCCGATAAATTATCACTAAACTCTCAACATCAAGTATAAATCTTTTCCACTAACGATACTGCTAAAGCAATATCTTTATTCTCTGGAAAAAAAATCGAAAATGTTTGCGACTGGGTTAAAGAAGTTGAACGCATTTCAGTACACGCACACTGGACTCCATCTCTCACCTTAGTCAACGCCACCTCACGATTAGCAGGATCAGCCTTAAACTGGCACAAAGTATCTGGTCGCTCTTTTGACGATTGGTATACTTGGAAAGAAGGCATCATAGATAGATTTAAAGTTAAGATGTCTCTTTCTGAATTTATACAATTCCAAGCCAAACGCACACTACGCTCTAATGAACCAATTGCAGATTACATTTATGACAAGGATGCTATTATAGACAAAGCTCCATTCCCGCTACAACAGTCTGATAGAGTTTCCTTAATCTTACAAGGCATAACTAAACACGAATGGGCAATTCCATTGACGACAGCAATGTGTACTTCTGTTAAGGACCTCTTAGATAGGGCTGTGCAATTGGATGCCATTCGCAAAGTTCAGTATGTTAAAGAAAATACTTCCGAAAATACAACTAGTTTCAAATCTCAAGACAACCAAAAAGAACAAGGTAACTATATTCCTCGTTTCAACCCATCAGTTCATAAAGAAGAAGATCAAACTTGCTATAGATGTAAGCAAGTAGGACACGTCAGTTACAATTGTAAAAATCCACTTCAAGAAAAATCAGCTCGTGTTTACAACAAGACAGACATAAAAGATACCACCTACGCCAATAAGAAACATTTTAATAAAGAGGTAAAGCCTAAAGAGACATTGACAACCAAAACAATAAATTGTGTTCAAGAGGATTCTACCTCAGAAGATTTTGTTAGAGTATCTCAAATTCCGGCCACAATAAATGGCAACATGACTATCGATGCCTTACCCGATATTGGATCATGTGTTACGTTACTCAGAAGGTGTTTTGTTCCAGATAACATACCCATATTTCCATGGCAAGATGGATCATACGCTACGCCTGAGGGTAACTGCACACCAAGTGGTTGGATAAGTCTAAGAATAAAAGTCGGAAACATTGATTATGTTATGCCAAAAGTAGGTCTATGTGATAAATTACCAATTGCAATGATTCTAGGTCGTGATTGGCAAAAAGCAGTACAGGCAACAATTACTATCGAACCAAATGGTGCTGTATGTATAACAACACCATCGTCTATTCAAGAATTCGGTTGTGTAAAATCCAAAACTGCATTTAAAAAGATTTTAGGCAGAATATTAGACGAGAAAGGAGACAGACCAGACCCTGAACGTGCCCAAGCAGTCACAAGGTACCAAACATTAAGTACACTTCAGGAACTTAGAAGTTTTTTAGGATTTGCCAATGCATTACGAAGGTATATAAATCACTTTGCATCAATTGCAAGACCCTTAACCAATATGTTGAAGAACAAACCAGTATCAAGTAAGAAATCTTCTAATTATAAAATTCAATTATCAGATGATGAACATCATGCTTTTGTTAAGTTAAAATCAGCAATTACTTCGAACCCAGTTCTTGCAGCCTTCCGTCAAAACGTGCCAACTACCGTAGAAACCGACGCAAGTCATGAAGGATTAGGTGCTTGTCTCTCCCAAATACATGATGGATCTATATGTATAATAGAATACGCAAGCAGATCCCTTAAAGATCCAGAAAAACGTTACCATAGCAATGAGTTAGAGGTTACAGCGGTACATTGGGCTATAACCGAAAAATTTCGCCTTTATTTGGTCGGTCAAACCTTTAAACTCATAACGGATAATTATTCCACAGCTTACATAGTCAATAAAGCTAAGCTTAACAGAAAGTTTGCCAGATATGTTGTTGACTTAGCAGCATTCGAATTTGAACCCATCTACAGAGCTGGTAAACTAAACATTATTGCAGACCATCTTTCAAGATACCCTCAACCTGTTAACGATGAAAATCAGTGTTGTTTGGCAATCATTAACTCTCAAAACGATAAATTAGTACATGCCCAACAAGCTGACTCCTTTTGCCAACAAATCAATAAAAAACTTAAGAATACAAATAACACGGTTCATATTCTACAAATAAAATGTATGTATAAATATGAAAATAACATCCTAGTTCATGTCAATATAGAAAATGGTTTTGAAGTAAGTAAAATTGTCATTCCATTTTCTTTTCGCAACACAGTTTTACAATATTGTCATGACAACACAGGTCACTTCGATATTAAGAAAACTTTATCCAGGATTAAAGCACGCTATTGGTGGAGTTCCATGAGAAAAGACTGTGCCCTCTATGTTCGTGGATGTAAGACTTGTCAACAAGTCAACAGAAGAACCACATCAGCATATGGTATGTTAGGCGAGAGACCCATACCTGAAGTTCCTTTTGAAGTCATCTCAGCAGATCACCTTTCACTCCCAACTACTAAAGCGGGCAATTGTTACATATTAGCTCACATCTGTCACGCTACCAGATTTCTTTTAGCTAGACCTACATGTACTACTGCCACAGACGATATCATTCACACACTTGAAAATGATATCATAAATCACTATGGACTACCAGTTACATATATTTCGGATAATGGTTCTTCATTCACAAGTTCTAAGTTCAAACTGTATTTAGAAAAATATGAAATACAACATTCACTATGTCCACCATATACCCCACAAGCCAACGGACTGGTAGAACGTTCTAACGCAACCATGATCTCAGTTTTATCTAAATTTTCATTAGAGCACCCAGATGATTGGGACATTAAGCTACCAAACCTAATCTTAGCTATAAACACATCTCAACAGAGCACCACAAAGTTTTCACCTTTCTACTTATTACATGGTTATGAACCAAAACTCTCTACTATGGATATGGCACTAGGTTCAGTACAGTCAGACCTGTCAAGAATGGATCAACTAGACTTACCTGCAGAAAGTAGAGGTATAGCAATTGAAAACTTAAAAGACAATCACAAAATAAACAAAAAACGATTCGATCAACATAGAAGCCACCACAACTTCCAGCCAGGTCAACGAGTATGGTATAACTGGCAGTCTACAAATGACACAAAACTTTCACCAAATTTTAAAGGACCATTTGTCATTGAACACCCAGTTGGAAAAGTTTGTTATAAAATTACCAGGGCCGATGCAACAAACAAAAAACATTCCAGAATAGTTCATGTACAATCACTTAAACCAGCTCAATACAGACCAAATTTGGATGATCCAGGAGAGATTCAATTTGAGGAGAACAATCAACAATCACCTCCAACTTCTCTCACAGACAACATCCAAATAAATTCTCCTACCCCAACCATAGACACTAAGGTAAACAGCATTACTAAACGTACTCGCAAGACACCATCTTGGTTAAAAGATTATATAATAGGTTAATGTTATTATGTATTAATTTTTTTTTGGGCCGATAGGTATTATACAAAAATTATTATAAAACATTAAATACTTTTATACTTACCTTTTATTATCAGTTACTATTTTGTACCACTATTAAGTATTTAGTTGAGGTGCTTATTATTACATGTGTTCCTATTAAGGCTGTTAACTAAAGCCAGTAATTTATTATTTCATTAATTTAATTATTATAAAAAAAAACACAAGTTGTAATTCTATACAAGATAGTATTATTTTATCATTTAGTTATGTTATCAATTTATTATTACACCATGATTTATTATACTTTATTTTACTGTTAATTTTTTTTGGGCCGAATGTAAGGTTCTAAATCACATATTACAATGTTGTCACTTATTTTATATTATGTAATTATATTATGTTGTAATTGTTATCATTGTACGGTTGCAACACTGCACACGGCAGTCGGACAGTCAGTTAGTTCCCGACGCCGACGAGAGGAACATCTCTTATGTTAATAAATACGAGTCTATACACGCATTAGTTCTTTTATTTATTTACAGTGGGCCCCCTTTCAACTTTAACTTCAAAATAATTGTATTATTACATATTAACGACTTTATATTATTGTATAATTTTTTACTATGCAAAAAATATACAGAGTGAATCTTACGTCATAGTACCAGTGGCGTATTTACGATTTTGGCACCCCTTTTTTTCTCAGTTTCCCTTTATTCATTATCACAAAAAACTTTTAAGCCACCTTTAATTTAAAATTTACTTTAACCGGTATTAAATTCAATACCGACTCGACAAAAATTGCATACCTGTATAATAATTAAAAACCGAAAATATAATTTAAAAAACGGTATTTTTTTTTTTGCAAATCTTTGTATCTTGACATTTTTGAAAGTTTACTTTACACGAGCGATCGGACGCTCGATCCAGCGATTCAAAAAAATTAATAAACTAAGAATGAACGTAAATAGTCCAGGTATTGAAACCGATTTTAGAAACCGGTATAAACCGTTTAAAAACTGAAACCGATGACAAAATCAAAAACAAAATCGAAAAAAATTGGAAATCGGTATTAAATCCAAAACCAAAACCGAAAAAAATTAGAAACCAGTGTATAAATCGAAACCAAAACAGAAATTTTTTTCAATCGGTTTCAAGCCATTTAAAAGTGATAATTGATAACCCAAAATGTATATTTTCCCCTTATTGCATTTATGCTTCCACTAATTTAGAGAACACTTTTATTTTAAAATTAACACTTCCATTTATTCCTAATAAAAAGTCAACCATTATAATAAAATAAACAAATTATAATTTAGATTTCAGCCTTTTAGCCTTTTTTTACAACAATTTAATAAAAATAAAAATACATTATATATATATATATCAGGGCTTGAAACCGCTTCTGAATAAATAGGTTACCGGGTCCGACAGGACCCGGAAAATTTTTTGGAACCGGTTACCGGTTATCGAGGTTTTTAGAAATAATGATAATCATTTCCCGCTTACCAAAATAAATTTTATAAATGGGATTACCGGTTATTTATTTGGAAGCTGTTTTAAATCTTCAAAATTACCGGTTACCTCGCAAAACCGTTTTTTTTTTTTTTTTTTGTTTTAATACCTACTCTATTTTTTTTCATCAAACTTAACATGTTAAGTATAGTACTACACAGTTTTGTTCAGTATTACTATTATAACGAACTTATTATTAAATAATGAATATCAAAACAGTCCCTGATTATAAGTTATAACGTACCTATTACCTAGTACTTGGTACAATATCGTACATGCAAGAGTTATATGCTATTATATATATATGTATCAGCCCGCATTCGTCGATGTTTCTCACAGATTTCTATATAGTATAGAAGTCTGTGATGTTTCTACCATTCGTATCAGTATTCAGTACCTATATTATAGGTACTGACTACTGAGAATCTTTTGTTAGTGCGCCGATACGATTCCGCAATCAAACACGCTTATTTTGGTATTTTTAAATTTTAATACTTAGTAGTTCTAAAATAATCTATTTTAGTATTTTATAAATATTATTTTCTTATTTAGAATATTCAATATAATTTAAAAACAATTATTTTTACGTTAATTGGTTTGAGATTTACGGTTTTGTATACTTCCGATTAATTAACCGGTTCTAAAAATAAACGGTTACCGTTATAGATTTCTCCCTTTATCAAATTCCGTGATTACCAGTAATTGATAACCGCTTCTCAAAATTGAAACTCGAGAACCGGGAAGCGGATACCAGTCCAAAAAGTACTCATGGTAACCGGTTACCGGGAAAAATCGGTTAACGGTTTCAAGCCCTGATATATATATATATATTATATGGAAATATGTAATATATTACTTATTAACTATGGCCCTCGAATGTTTAGTATAATATGCGTTAATACTTTTAACTGAAATACCTAATTTACAAGAGCTAAATATTTTTTTCTTATAACTACCTATATACTTAATAGTTAAATCAGTAGGTAATCGAAAATAGGTACTCAGAAAAAAAAACATAATGAAAAGTGTGTTTATCAACACAGTTCATTATTTATAGTAATTTTTCATGATATAAAATTGAGAACAATTTTATTTTATAATTATTATTTATTAGGACGTAATAATAATTTATCTACTACCTATACCTACTTCAATATATATATATATTTTTAAATGTATTGGAAGCGTTAAAAAAATATATTTTGGAGATGGGCCCCCAAAATCAATGGGCCCCGTTACCATGCCACCCTTGCCCCCCTTAATCCGGGCTTGTGTGTTAGCTTGTATTTTACTGAACAAAACTGTGTAGTACTATACTTAACATGTTAAGTTTGATGAAAAAAAATAGAGTAGGTATTAAAACAAAAAAAAAAAAAAAACGGTTTTGCGAGGTAACCGGTAATTTTGAAGATTTAAAACCGCTTCCAAATAGATAACCGGTAATCCCATTTATAAAATTTATTTTGGTAAGCGGGAAATGATTATCATTATTTCTAAAAACCTCGATAACCGGTAACCGGTTCCAAAAAATTTTCCGGGTCCTGTCGGACCCGGTAACCTATTTATTCAGGAGCGGTTTCAAGCCCTGGACTTTAAACTATCATAATATACATTATATAATGTTCAAAATATTTCGACTCGTTTTCAGTGATTTATAGACATTTGAATTATCAAATTGATAGTTTACAAATTACTATTTAGTAGTAAAATTTATAAAATGTTCAACTTTTATTGCTAAGGATTGAAAATGTAAAACAAGAATTCTCAAAAATAGTTCATAGTGAGTGTTCATACTCTAACAAAAAAAAAACTAAATAATCTATTAAAAACACAGTTAATTTTTACAGACATTATAAGTTCAAATTTGGACGAAATGACTTATTAAAACAAAGAATAACGATTTTAGTTATTTTGTTGTAATTTAAAAATAGTAGGTGTTCGTGGATTTATAAAACTTTTAAGGCCGTTCTTACAATGTCCGGTTAAATTTAACCTACACATAACCCGTATAATCCTGCAGGTAATAAAATCTGTTATTAGTCGGTTAGCGTTAACCGACACTTTACCGGACATTGTAAGAACGGCCCTCAGAGTATATTATTATAATTTATATACACGAATACTCTATGACACTTTTAAATGTAATTTTTTGGGCAAAAATGACTATAAACTACTGCTGTACTAATGCTTAATAATCTGTAGGCAATGTGGTTATGATCATAAAAAATTATTCCACTCAAATTTAAAATACTTTATGTTTTATTATTTTTTTATAGCGAAATATGATTTATTTTTTACCATATATTTTAGAAAAAATGAATATAAAATTAAGCCCCAAAAGAATATGAAAAAAAACTTACTTTAATAGTTTAATTATCGACTGTTTCGGCGGAATCCGTAAAGTGTGAGAACTGTGACGCCGATGACGAAACGCTTCAGAGAATACAGAACTTAAAATATTGTGATTTATGAAAAATAAAATTATACGGGACGCAGTAAGTTTTTTACTCATATCTGCTTTGCTTATTGAAATTTTAGAATTTTTAATCGACTGTGTCGTCTGCAACGACATTGCGATTTGCCATAGAATATAAATGATAGATATTATATTATACTAGGTACGTCATATGATGAATCCACGGATATCATATAATGCAACTTTTTATATCAAAGAGTTCCATGTTAAGGAACAATATTTGTTCGTTGAAATTTTGTATGACAAAAATCAAAATAGTTTATAATTTTGAATTTGAATTATAATAAAAATAGGTATCAAATATGATATATTATTTGAATTTTTATTTTCGTTTATTAATTTAATTATTTATTAATATGCTGCATAGATATCTGCAGAAGTACAAGCATATTTTTATAAAAGCGTATTGTATTTTATAAATCATTAAACAAAAATGTGATTACTGGATTTTAGGTAAAATAAAGGTATACTCAGTAAATTCATCAAATTTACAGTATCGGCTATAATACCAACTAGATTCTAAAATTTCAAATCTAACATTTTCTACGAATACTGCTGATCACAAAATTATTAATTATTATTCAATATTATGAACATTTTAATTGTATCGGGGACCTATAATTTGTATTTTAGATTCTGAGTGGAACGATGAATATTTTGATTTTACTATGATGTGTATTTAATTTTTAATTTTTTTTTTATTATTTCTTTGTTGTGTTTGATGTGTACACGATAAGTAGGTAGTCAAATTCGACCTTCGTTTTCCATGCATAATATAATATTATAGGTACTCCGTATGTAATCAATGATCATATTGTTTATTTTTAATTCAATTTTTGTAGAAAAGTGTTTTGTGTAGGCATAATAAATGTTACATTAAAATTTAAAAAATTCAAAAATTAGAATATAGGCACTACAGTTTCCAGCTACTACTACAACATTACGTTATATTATGTTTTTAATTATTAAAATGCCTAAAAAGTAAACGTAAATCCCAAAATAATATGAAAAC